CTTGCTGGAAGCTCCCATATTTTTCAACTTAGGACACAACATGAGTAGCCCCAAACAGAGGTAGAGGAATTCTCTTGTCCCAAGAAGAAACAGACCTGTGCAACCAGAGCCCCACGGAGTTGCCACTGCCTCTGCCCCTTCTGCTGCCTTCCCAGATCAAGGCCGCATCCTGGAGGGCATGAGGATAAGGGCATGTTGCACCACCACAGGCATGGGACTGGATCTGCTGGGATGCATTTCCACCTTTGCACTTGCTGCTTGCATGAGGACCTGAGCCTGTGGCATTGGTGTTGAGCAGGCCTCCACTACCGGAGCACACCCGAGGTCCCCAAGTGGGTGAGTGTGTCTTTGCTGATGCCAGGCCCACGTTACTGGAGCCCCCCAGAGCTACAGCCGCTGCCGCCATCACCACCACTACCTCTGCCACCTCCCCAGATTTAGGCCCCATTCTGGAGGGCATGAGGAGAAAGGGCATGTTGTGGCGTCACTGACATGGAACCGGACCTTCTGGGACATATCCCTACCTTCGCACTTGCCACTAATGCAAGGACCTGAGCCCACTGCACCAGCGCTGAGCAGGCTCCCACTGCTGGAGCACCCCCAAGGTCACTGGGCAGGTGAGTGTGTCTTCACTGCTGCCAGTCCCGCACGATCAGATCCCCACAGAGCCCCTGCTATGAACAGAGCCCAGAGAAGCTGTTTCTGAAAACACCAGACAATAATAAAAAATACAGAACCAGAACTTTCCAGTTTCCTGCCATGTTTGACCAGCTTTGGGGAATTGGGCCTGCCTGCCTGCACCCTGAACTCTGCACTGGGCAGCCTGGGGTGAGTGTACCTGCACCATCCCAAGCTACTGGGAGGAAGTTTAAGATATCTCAGGTGACAGCAGTTTGGGGAGGGCAGCAAAACCCCAGTCAGTATGCTTCGGAAAGACCCTAAGCAATACTGAGAGGGCCAGAGACTCCCTGGACACACCTGTCTGAAAGAAACCAGAAACATGACAAGAGATAGAAAACAAAACAAAACAAAACAAAAAAAAAAACTTCTAGCTGCTGATCCTGGAAAAATAAGCCCAGGAGAGATAAATACAGAAGAAAAATATTGCAGTAATCATGATATATTAGATATAGCATCATCAGCGGACATAAAGAAATACCTTCATGACCTCATAGATGAATTTAAAACTCTACTTCTGATCAAAGTGAGGTAAGATATAAAAAGATTAATTAAAGAAATGATAAACTCATACCAAGAGAATACAGGTGGAAGAATGGAGCATCTCAGAAAAGGAAGAGAAACATTTCATGAAGGATATTGGGGCTGGGGGTTTAGCTCAGCAGCATAAGTGCCTGCCTTGAAAGCGCAGTCATGAGTTCAATCCCTGGTACCGATAAAAACGAAAAAGACCAAAAAAAAAAAAAAAAAAATTCACGAAGGATATAAACAAAATCTAGAATATGTGAAACAGATCCAAAGAGACTACCAGGAAAATAAAAACTCCACCGAAAGCTGGCAAAATGCCTTGACAGAAACTAAAGTTAGCCTTTTGAAACTTGAAGAGAGATTTACGGTGTGTGAGCATGAAAGAAAAGATCTCTTAAAAATAACAAGGAACCAGGAAGAAACAATACAAAGGCTAGAAAGATGACAAGAGAATTTATAACTTAAGAATAAAAACTGTGAGCCAAGAAGCAGGAGTAGCTACAAATGAACTGCAAAGAATATTCACAGATATAATTAAGGAAAACTTCCCGAGCACAGGAAAAAGAAATGATATCCAGACAAAAGAAGCATACAGAACTCCAGCCACGTACAACCAAAACAGATCTACACCCAGACATGTAATAATCAAGATTCCAGAAATCCACCACAAGAACAGTAATTAAAAGCAGCCAGAAAAAAGTAGCAGATTACCTCTAAAGGAAAAATTATCAAAATAAAGACAGACTTACAATACAAACTCTCAAATTGAGTAGAACCTGGTGGGAAATAGTCCAAGCCCTGAAAGAAAATAACCTCCAACTGAGACTTACATTACCTAGAAAAACTCTCTCTCAAAACTAATGGAGAAATAAGATATTTCCAAGACAAGGAGGAACTGTGGGAGTTCATGGCCACCAACCCAACCCTACAACAAATACTGAAGGACATTGCAGAGAGAGAGAGGAAAAAAATACCAGGATTCCAGCGACAGTGACAGAGAGGCTTCAGTGAACCAGGAAGACAGTGGAATGAAGGAGTAAAGTGGACAAATAATGACAGAAGAATAAAATAGCAGATATGAGGCAGAGATAGTAAGCTATAATCTTTAATATAGATAGCTCTGATACACTAAGAAAAAAAAGAAACACAGGCAGAGTAGACTAGGAGGCAGGATCCATTGAGATGCTCTGAATAGGAGATACACCCAACCTGAAAGAGGGTTAATAAACTGAGAGCCAAAGATGACAAAACAATGCTATATGTGACAGGAAACCAGAGAGAAATAGGGACAACTCGTCCAGCAGCCGCAGAGAGATTGGAAAGCTATACTTTTGGGCAGTGTAGAACTACACAGCTTGAAGGAAGGAAAACCTTGTAACTTTAGTAAGTAAAGGAGTACAGCTCAAGGTTAAGTTCAGGGGTAAAAAGGTTTAGCTACACTCAGATAGATAACAGGTTGGCCCCCTAATCTAAAAAACTAAAAGAGTTAGTGGGACCCAAAATATACAAAGCACCATGAGAAAGGGGAAAGGGAGGAATTGTCTAAAAAAGGAAAGCAGAGGACATTGTTGATAGTGTATATGGATTTAAAAGTCACAGTAGTCTTATTGCTCTGTTTGGTTTGAATATATTTTCTTCTGTCTACTCATATTAGATTTGAGGACACAGACAGCTAACTCAAAAATAGGTTATACTATGGTAACTATCCTTAATTTCCTATTAACTTAAACTGAAAACTTGTATCACTTACAATGTCTTATTATGACTGATCTTATTTTAAGCTGTTTCATTAGACCACGCCTTGACTGATTCATTCAAATATGGTATCCTTGATAGTATTAAGTCTGCGAATGGAGACAACTACTCTGAAGATGATAAGATGTAAAAGATATCCATTCCGGTTTTGATTATTGACTGCTTTCATTTCCTACAATATCTTCAAAGTTGTGTTTTTAATAAAATAGCTATGTAATGTTATGTTCAATTATATTATGCCTGTTGATGTGGACAATTCTATTGAAAATAACAAGAAAAGGCATAGTAACTACTGTAGATCACCTAGTATTGTGGTCCTTTATGTCTTTTTCATTTCATGTTTTTCTAGGAATTTATTTTGTTGTCTTGTTTTGATCTGTTTTTCCCTATAATACAGAAAGGATAGATATACATGTGACATGAGTCACACATGAGAAGAATTTCTAAATTATTTATGGAAACAGATTATATAATACATGATGTAATGAACGAATGCTCTGAAGAAGAAGAGATACTAAGAAACCCAGTGCTAATTATGTAGCGCTCTGATATGAAATCTAGCAATTTTATCATTCACTGTTCAGAGTGATATTAGTCTAGTCTCATGTTCAATTTTAGCATAGGTAAAGATAAAGACAGTTACTGTGAAGACACTGAGAAACATTGTGGTAGACATTATTAATTTCCCCAACATTAGGTCTTGAGGACCTAAAAAGCATTCATCATCCTGTAATGATCTGATTAGTTCTATAATGTCCAGTGTATATTCAATGTGTGTGAAGATAGGGACAACTATTTGGAAGAAAACTAGAGACAATAAGATAGACAGTGAAGATTTCCAGTGGACTTGCTTTGAAATCTATGTTTCTTTAAATTGTTTCCTTATAAACTGTTTTGTTCTGTTTTGCTATATTTAATCTTACCCTATTTAAGGAAAAAAAAAACAAGTGTGTAAGACTGATAACCATATTACTAAGTTCTTGTTGGATCACTGAGCAGAACTGTTTGCAGTGTCATTGTTTGAATATCACTTTATATGCTTTAATTTTGTAACTCAAGCAACTATTTCTAAGATGACGGTATGTAACTTATCGAATGGTGATTTCTTAGTGTTTATTTTTCTGAAATTCTTTATTGTTTATACTCTTTTTACCTGTTTTTTTCTTTAAAAAGTTTAAAAAAGATTTCTACCTCTTTTCTCTTCCAGTAAATTTAGCACTTCTGTTTTAATATTTAGATTCTTGATTCATTCTGAATTTAGTTTAGTGGAAAAAAGCTCATCTTTAAAAGTATGGCTTGTCTTATTAAACTAATAATGAATATATAGGAGACATTTACTTTATAGTCCTCTAACCTAAGATAATTGTGACTCAAGTTGTTTAGTTGATAGTTAAGAAACTCATGCCTGTAAAGGTAGACACAAAATTCTTAAGAGTTGTGACTGATTATCAATTTGTGCATGGTCATAAAATTTCATAGCATTTATTTTAAACATTTTATTAAGGGACTAATAATATTATTTAGGTCCTTACTCATGGTATTTTAGCTATACAGAAATTTCAATACTTTCACAATGCATGGGCTCAAAGATTATTGTTATATACTTTGTATTAAGTACATTATAAACTGATTTGGTTTACATCAAATATATTCTAATATTTTGAGATAAAATCAAAAATTTCCTTTTCAATTTGAATAGTTAAAAATCTGTATAAAGTATATGATAGAAAATCTGTGTAACTGCAAACAGTAGTTTTAAGTATGGCCAACCTCTGGATATTCTCTTATGCAAAATAAAAAGATATTTTGCTTGATGTATTTAATTACATTTTGTTTTTTAACTTTGGTATCAAGCTAGTATTTAACATAATAAATAGCTTATAGACTAAGTTAAATAGAAGACACTTTTAAATATTATTTTAAATATTTCATCTAAAACAGGATATAAATGAGAATAGATTTGATAATAATCATCTTATTAATCATTTTGGCTGAAAATTTGCTCTAGATTTTTTGTTTTTGTTTATTTATTTATTTTAGATGGGGCGTGATGTACTCCCTCACTATCATAAATTAGGCAGTCAAGTTTTCCACATTAGGAGAAATGGCAGGGGTCAGCAAGTCCGCAGTGCAATGGATGAGCTTTGCCCTGGAAGACCACCTTCGTGATTGCGGAATCTCCCCCCCCCCCGCCTAGTAAGTAGTTTTTTGTTTTATTTTTGATATAAAGTCTTGCTGTGTAGTTTAGTTGGACTTGCACTCGTGTTATAGCCAAAGTCAAGTTCTTCATCTTGCTGCAGCCTTCTAAATGCTGGCATTATAGACATATGCAACCATGCTTTGGCTTAAGATATTACTTTTAATTTATTTTTGAGACTGAATATGTCATTCACATAGTCAAAAACAAAGCAATTTACAGAGAAGTCACATGATGATTACTCACTACCATTTATATTATAAATGCACGTTAAAAAGAATGCCTAAAAGAAACACAACAAAGGAATAAATGGCTTTGCATTAAGAAATGAAGTTAAAGACAACAAAAATCAATATCGAGTATTTATTTGTATGACTATTATACAGATTGTGCAATATTGTAAGTCTCATAACGTCAACTTCTAGATACTTTTCTTTGATCTCAATCATTTCAAACACACTTTTTTCAAAAACCTTGCTGCTTCAGGCCTTGGACTTTATTTGATAATATCAAGGAGAACATCTCAGAGCAGCATCCCCTATGCACAGTGACATTCTCCAACCAGCTGTGAAGGAGGCGCTAATGCTCTGATTGGCAGTGCACTGTGAGCCCAGCCTTCCTGATGGCTGCTGAAGCCTGATGAGGCTCCTTCTTCACATTATGTTTCAGGTGGCAAGAAAGTCAGTGTGGAGTGGTCATGGGAGGGGAGGGAAAAGGAAAAAAAATGTAGAATCAAGAGATATATGAGCTACAGGATCTATGTTGTGCAAATATATCATGCATAAATAAATTGTATTAATAAACTTAAAGTAATAAATATTGTTTTAAAAGAAGAAAGCCAATGATGACCTGTAGTAAACTGGGAAAAACTGATATTCTTCATGATGTCCTATGTGTGACTTGAGCCTGGAGTTTACGATGAAAGTTGTTAGCTACTATCAATCATTCCGGCTTTGGTTATCTGCTGTTACCTGGTAGTTTTGCTCATGCGTGTGTGTGTGTGTGTGTGTGTGTGTGTGTGTGTGTGTATCATGGCTATTGTTTTATACAATGATAAATCTCTTGTGCCAGGAGTATTTTCTAGGTACCTCCTGATTCATGTGAATGGCAAGGATTATATACTGAACACATAACATAGATCAGGCATCATTCATTCTAAGTTAACCACATAGTACTGTGGTTCTCCTGCTCTTCTTTTGTTTCTTCAACGGCATCTCTGTAAAGGGCAATTTGGGATCTTTGCAGATGGTGTTCTTGATGTCCACTGTACTCATCACTCTTACATGAACCTGGTAACACCCTTCTTATCATAATCTTTACTTGACAGTATAAACTAGTGCTAACTTAATTTCTATCATAACTCCTTGTTTAAATCTGTTACTATCTTTGGTTTTACTGTTTGTTAATTTCAATTGTATGTCTTCTCCCTGTAGACTGTGTGCTATAGAGATGTTTTTGTTTTCTTCATCACTGTATACTGAACAGAATGCATTTAATATCTTATGAAAGAGTTAAGGAGAAACAGAAATCCTTTAAATGTATATATATATATATATATATATATATATATATATATATATAAAGTTCTCTCAATAGATCTGGGGTATAGGCTTTGCTATTTTCATATCACAAGAGAAAAGTGAAGAATTGTTCAATGATTTGTATGAGGTACTAGGGTTTTGAGCAATTATAAAATTATCCGTACTACCCAGAACTTGTGCACAGTATACGTGACAGGTACTTCTAGCAGTCCACAGCACGCAGTACAGCTGTCCTCCTGTCATTTGCCACCCTGCCTATTCATTTGTGCTGAACAATTCTGACTGTGATACCCTAGGTGGGGTTGATTTCACTGTACCTCAGCTATATATTACATATAATTTTCTGCACTGATCTTTTGATGCCAACAGAGATGCATGTAGGCCAAAAGAAGCATATTCTGTGGCAAATTTCAAGCATTTGTTTCTTTCTCCTCACATACTCCTGACATGATGTGTGATCCTCAATCTTTCCCCTTGTCCACATTCAGGGACTGACCAATTGAGAATGGCCCATGGAGTCCCACTTAAGCCTGCTGCCCTTCAGGCACTTCTTACCCTATCATGATTTTTTTTTTCTACTCTACCCCCACCTCCATATTCTCCTGCTGGTGCATAAATCCTTAACAATATTTTCTCCTTTGATAAGTTCATGTAAGTAATTTTCAATGACTGGATGCTTCTTAGGTTGAAAACTGATAATACAAGGTGTCATGTTAAGAAGACTCTGCTCCTGCAATCGTAGTAATCCTGACTCTTATTGTTGAAAACCATCAGTTTATAAAAACTAACCCATGTTTATAGCAGCACAGTTTGTATTAACCAGATCTTGGAAAAAACCTAAATGTCCATCAACTGAGGAATGGATAAAAAGATGTGGTATTTTTATGGAGTACTACTCAGCTATAAGGAATGATCACATTGAAATATTTATAAGTGGATGCAACTTGAGACCATAGTGAAATAAATCAAACTCAGATGGGTAAGTGCTGTACAGTTATTGTCTCCCTAGTGTAAGAAATGGTAAGAGTACGTAAGATACAAAGTCGACAATAAATATAGTGAAAGGGTAAGTCTGATTAAATGGGGAAATAATATCTCAGGTAAAAGGAGGAAAAAGAAAAAGAAAGAGAAAAGAAAAAATATCTAAATTGGTATAAACACACTTAGAACAGCTAAGATGGTTATACTACAAATTCTGTAAGTTCTAAGAACAAAGCAGTTAATATTCATAGGATTGGAACTGTTGTTCATGCTTGTGTCAGGTGACCTGAGGAACTCTTGAAGATCATGTAAAATATCAGCCTTATTTCTGTTCCTACTACTGTGTTTTGAAAGCCTATATTGTCATTGTTTTGGGCTCTTTGCTACTGTTATTTATTTGTCTTTTTTGTTTCTTATTTTTCTAGTAATGTTTTGTTTTGTTTTCCGCTATAATTCAGAAAGTATAGGTATACATTTAGAGGCTTATACATGCCTAGAACTTCTCCTGAATAGTTATGAGAACAATTATATTGTATGTGGTGAAATGAATAGTTACTTTGAAGAAAAACAGACATTATGGTATCCATTGCTGATTCTGTATCATCATGCTGTAAAATCCTGTATTGCTTGTATTCTTTGTTCAGAGTGGTTTTAGTCTGTTTTGTATAATTAAGTTCAGCATACATGAAGGTATGGATAGCTCTTTTGAAGAGAACAAGAGACATTATGGCAGCCATTGTTGATTTTCCTATTGTCTGGTTTTGAAGGCCTGTAATGCCTTCATTTCTCTGTTCTGATCAGCTTAATACTATTTTGTTTTGTATGAATTCATTGTGTGTGAAGATATAGACAACCATTTAGTGGAAAACAAGAGACATGGTAGCCATGTTAGATCTCCTGTTGTCTTACTTTGAAATCTGTTTCACTTATATTGTTTTGCTTCTGATCCATTTTGTTCTGTTTAATTTTATCCTTTTTTAAAGTAAAAAAATAATATCAAAGATTAAGAAACAATGGGAAAGAAACTAGGTTTGAAAAAGTAAAAGCATACTATTATAATTATGCTATAATATTATGAACCACTGGGTAAAGGAACTGAAATTATTCCTTACATATTATCTGATGATAGTGCAATGAAATAGGAAATTAATGGAAAAAGAAACCTCAAAAACTCCATAAATATTTGGAAATTCAGTAACAGCCCCCCTGGGCAACCGACACATCACAGATGAAATTAAAGAAGAGATAAAACAATATCTACAATCAAATGAAAATGCAGATACAGCATACTGGAACGTGTGAGACACGTGAAAGCAGTTCTAAAAGAAACATATGTAGTAATTAATTCTTAGATTAGGAAAATGGAATGAATACTCATAAATGACTTAGTTTTGCAGCTTGGGCTTCTAGAAAAAGAAGAGCAAGTCAAACCCAAAACCCATAAAGAGGAGGAAATTTTAAAGATCCGAGTAGTAATTAACTCTATCAAAACTAAGATATCAATAAAAAGAATTAATAAATTGAAAATCTGGATTATTGAAAGAATAAATAAAATTGATAATCACTAAGCCAATCTTATGAAAGAAAGGAAAGAAAAGACTCAAATTTATGTAATGAGGGATGAAAAGTGTGAAATCAACACAGATCCTTTGGAAATTTAGAAGAACATCAATACCTATTTTGAAAATCTTTACTCTCATAGGATGGAAAATACAGAACAAATGGATGGATTCCTAGATATGTAGATTATCAAAGCTGAATAAAGAGGATATAAAAATTCTGAACAATCCAATATCAATCAATTAAATTGAAAATATAATTGAAAATTTGCTAACAAAGAAAAGTCAAGGTCTGGATGGATTTGCTGCAGAATTATATAAGAAATTTAGATTAGATTTAATGCCAATACTTCTCAAATCAATTGAAAGGGAAGAAATACTCCATAACTCATTCCTAGAGGCCGGTATTACTCAGATACCAAAACCAGAGTAAGATCCAACTAAAAAGGAGAAATATAAGCCAATCTCCCTAATGAACATAATGCAAATATTATCTATAAAATACTATCAAACAAAATGCAGCAAATTATCATGATTATACATCATGACCAAATGAGATTCATCCCAGGAATGCAGGGATGACTCAAAACAAATCAATAAATGTAATATACCATATTAACAGAGCCAAAGCCAAAATCACATGATCATCTCAAGAGATGCGGAAAAAGCTTTTGATAAAGTCCAACACTCATTAAAGATAAAAACCCTACAGTAAGTCAAAATATATGGTCTATATCTTAACCTCATAAAAGCCATCTATGACAAACCAATAACCAGTATCACACGAAGTGGACAAAAACTGAAAGCTTTCACTCTAAATCAGGAACAAGACAAAGATGTCCATGATCGACACTCCTATTCACTATAGTCCTGGAAACACTAGGCAAAGCAATTAAACAAGAGTGAGAAATAAAATGAGTAATTTT